ATCATCATCATCGTTATCAATTTCACTTTAAACGGCACAATTCCACAAGGAAAATGGTCATTCAAAGTACACCAGCACCACGCAGTTCCAACACTGACCCGTTCTCTCCATCTCTCTGACACTCTAATCTTGCTCTTCATCTTTCCAGTACATGCTTGAATACAGAGAGTCCCGCAAAAAGAACTAAAAATAAAAACCTGTTTATCACCACCCCCCTCCATGCTCACACATACACACAGACACACACAAGCACACACACAAACAAATACACACACACAAACACACACACACACACACACACACACATACACACCCACATACACATTGATTAAAACACAGCCACTTGTAACAGAGCAACATAAACAAAGAAGACGTGTACTGAAATGAACATAACATTATTTATTATAATTATGTGTCTTGTGAGACTGTCAGTCAATACTGATTAGATCTGTCCAGAAACAACTGCGTTCAAGGACTGATTTAAATGTATCACGACGCAGTGGAATCAGGCGCTCGTCAATTTGCGTGCATTTCCAGTTATTGGTATCAGCTTACCTTACAGATTTTTTCATTCGTCTTACGTTTGATGAAAGAAACACCCATCCGTCTTGAATTGAAGTCGAGACGTTTGCAATTGAAGGGGATGAGTATGGACAGGTTTCAGAGGTAAAATTAGCAAGAAAATTACCTCCAAAGTTCGGTAACTTTCATAGATTAAGAGAACATTTGCAATTTGTGCCTTTGATCAATGTTTTTCTGTAAAATCCACACCCAAATATGTTTTAATAGACGTAGATATTATAAAGTGTTGAGTCAAAAAAAAGGTTCAAGAAAAAATTGCCAAACTAGCTGAAACTTGCCGACTTCTCCGATTTCATTCTTTTCACGAGCGCCTGATTCCACCATGACTTAACAGAAATGTTTTTTTTTTTATAAAGTGGTCGTCCTCCGCAGGTGCTGAGGTGGCGTGGTTGGAAAAAGCTGTCCCTCCGATTTACACGTAGAGATGAGGATCAGGAATGATGCTTATTCCTATAACATATTTTATTTTTAAAAATAATGATAAATTCTGTAACATAGGAAATCAGGCTCCTGTAATAATGGATGACGCGTGCCATATTTGGCAGCGACATTAGCAACAGATGAGAGGTTGTAAGAAATGCTGCCTGGTACAGATCAATATTTATTAAGACCACATAATAATATACTAGTGTAAAGATATTAGCGCTACTGTCATTTCAGCAGAATGACCCGGGGTGAGAATTTATTAATGATTCTCTCTCTCTCTCTCTCTCTCTCTCTCTCTCTCT